CAAATGAGAATGTTCTCATCTATCTTGAAAGAGAACGGAACTCAAAGAAAATGTTCATGTTTTTTTTATTTTTAAACTGCATATTTATTTGACAGATATGATTGGTCTGGTAATCCGTTGATATTGACAAAACTTGATGCAAATACTTTATCAACTATTCAAAAATGTCGTTATTGTCAATCATCATGTGTTTTTGAATTTCAAGTGATGCCAGCACTTGTTAATTTTCTTAAAATAGATAATCAAATAGGTTTGAAAATTTATCTTTTTTTCAAAAAAAAAGAAAGTGTCTTTATATATTGGTTTTTTAGGTCTTGAATTTGGTACTGTTTTTGTTTACACATGTTCATCTAATTGTTGGAATGATAATAATGATCTGTATCGATTTGAAAATGTTTTTGTTCAGGCAGATCCTGATCAAAATTTATTTGATTAAACAAATAAAAAATAAATAGATAAATAAAAAGAATATAACATCATTTGTTTTTGTTTTTCAGATAATTGAACAATTGATTTTCAGTTCTGTTTATTCTTATCATTCTTGGAGTTATTGTTCTTAGTATAATTAATCAAATTTAATTTAAATAAAAAAAGCCTATTTTTTTTTGCAAGATTATTTGTCTTTTACATTCATTTAATCTGACATGTCGAAATGAAAATGAAAAATATTTTCAAGATTCAATAATAAAATATCAAAAACAATTTTCATCTTCGAAATATCTTTCTGTTATTATTTTTGCTTATAAAGAAGTTGATTGATGTAAATTAATAGAAGTTCGTTTTATTATTCTTTTTTTTTTATTCTATGTAATCTTTGCTTTTATACTTTGCACCTGATATAATGAAAGATACAATGAATTATTTAGAACAGCGTCAGGTATGTATGACATTCTATAATAATGATTTATAATATGATTCATACGATGTAGTACGAGATTAGTAGTTTTTATGAATCACGATCTAAAAAGAGTATGGAAATATGATAGTAGAAATTCTGACTCATTGTCTGTTGATCGCGATAGGGTCAACTCTATTTTGATCAAAAAGAAAAATGTCTCAAATCGAAAGGCAAAAATATTGTCTTACTGAAATATCGAAATTATATAAGTTATTGTTTAGTTAAAGATAAAGAATTCAAACAAAGATGAAATGCGGAAAGAACTTGAATCAACGAATAAGCTAGAGTCGTATAAATTTTATATTTATTTCTTTTGTTCCAACAATATATGATAAGGATGTGGATGAAGAGAACACTTACGAGGGAACACCCCCAGGTGAAGTTTCACTTTTGACGTGATATTTTGCCCATATGTAGATCTTAGTGAGACTAGAAAAACCCTAAAAGGGTTTGGGTTTCTATAACTTCCTTGTTAAGATCTGAAGTTCACATCTTCTCTAGCAGTGTTATGACTTATATTGGAATACGATGCAATGTCGATTTTTTCACAACAATATTTCGTACAAGCTAGTGTCAGGCAAGGAAGCTTGATATGTATGATTATGAGTCTTTCTTAGAGCTAAAAAAGTGTGTCACATATGGCCATTGTGAACGAATCAACATTGAATCGTATTCCAATATAAGTCATAGCACTATTAGAGAAGATGTGAACTTCATATCTTAACAAGGAAGCCATAGAAACCCAAACCCTTTTGAGATTTTTCTAGTCTCACCAAGGCCTACATCTGGACAAAATATCACGTCAAAAGCAGAACTTCATCTGGGGGTGTTTCCTCATAAGTCCTCAATAGATTTCAAAACAAAAAGAAACCAATCAACTATTTTTCTTTATATCTACTTATGAAATTATCATGGAATTGCTAGATTTGCTTTTATTTCTCAGAATATGATGACCTAGAGAATGGAGTTAGAAACAAATTCATCTCAAATTTCTTGTCAGCTGTTTGTTTTTCTATTTCATTATATAGATAAATAATCATAATATCGATTTGGAAAATATTGTCATGCACATCGATTTGATTCTGTAATTCATCGCAAAATAATTGAAAATAAATGTTGTCAAAAGTTGAATATTGTTGGCTTCTCTCTTTGATAATAGATTACTTCTTTAGAATCGTTACTATATGATGAATAAACATGATCATTATTTTAAGAAAAACAAAATATTAATTTCTTCATGAAAACAAATTGATGATATTTTAAATGTTTAGTTGTTGACATAAAAGTTCAAATTAGTCTGTTGAACGTTATATATTAGAAAAAAATCTGTTAAATTATTGAATATCTGATAATTCATAATGAATACATCTATGTTTGAATCCTAATGACACAGAAGTCAATATTTTTCATTCATCTATTGTAAGATTCTTGAACGAATTTGATGACGAATGAAAAACCTATTTCAATGAACTTTTCTATAATATTAAACAAAGACGAGAAAAACAAAAAAAATGATCATGTAAATCTTCCTTTTTGTGATTTTATCAAAATAAAGTTGAGTTGAAATGACAAACGTTGATCTATTTATGAGGAACTAAATTTCAAAGAATTTTTTCTGAGAATACACAGAACTCTTACAAGTTTTTATGAATTCAGTTACAATATGAAGGAATAGATAAAACTCGAAATAATGGTTGAGATAGTTGGAAATACTTACAAAACTTCTACAGAACTATTTGTATTGCTTGGCATTGGAACTATTACATTGGCGCATAACTTCTGAGAATTTTTTTTCTGGTTTAACAATAACTTTATTTTTCAACAAAGATATGCAACGTCAATCAACAATATAATCACCATTATTTTATGTGTATTTCTTTTGTACTTTCATCGCACTACTATACATTTGTTCCTGTTCTCTCAAAGTCAAAAAAACATTGAAATTGACCTTGATCTTTTGTGTTCTTATTACGCAATAATATATCTAATACATAATAATATTTCTATTACGTATTTTGTAATACGTCATACTATTATCGTTACATCTATATATATATATATATATATATATTCTCTTGTTACCTTGTTTATGATTATATGGATGAACAAAAAATTCAGATTCGCCACTGTATGCTCTACGAGTTCGATCGAGGTTCAACAGCAGCTGAAGCTACAAAGAATATTCATGCAGCATACAGCGAGGAAGCGGTCGGCAGTTCCACTTGTTACCGATGGTTTTCCAAGTTCCGTTCCGAAGATACCACCTTGACGGATAAACCTCGCTCCGGGCGACCTGTGGACTTTGACGGTGAAGCGTTGCAAGCTTTGCTCGACGCTGATCCACGTCATACAACACGCGAATTAGCCGAACAACTCAACTGGCACCACTCGACAGTGAAGCGTCATCTTCATGCTCTCGGTGAGGTCCATAAGTATGGACGTTTGGTTCCACACCAATTATCCAAAGACAACTTGGTTCAGCGAGCATCGATTTATGCTTCACTGCTTTCCCGACAGAAGTATAAGCCATTTTTGGAACGAATTGTCACTGGAGATGAAAAATGGGTGTGTTATGTCAACATGCGTCGCAGAAGGCAGTGGCTTGATCCTAACCAAAAGACATTCCCGGACGTAAAACCAGACATGCATCCAAAGAAGATAATGTTGTGCATCTGATGGGATATGAAAGGTGTCATCTATTTCGAGCTGTTAGATATCAATCAAACGATTACCGTCACTGTCTATTCTCAACAATTGCAGTGATTGAATGAAGTTCTATCTCAAAAGCGACCGGCTTTGGCGAATCAAAAAGCCGTCATCCTTCTCCACGACAACAGTCGACCTCATGTGGCACAGTTGACTCAGCAAAAAACCGACCAGTTAGGATGAGAAGTGGGTGGGTGTGGGTGTAGATGTGGGTGTGAGTGTGGGTGTGAGTGTAGGTGTGAGTGTGGATGTGGGTGTGAGTATAGGTGTGGATGTGAGTGTAGGTGTGGGTGTGGATGTAGTTTTCTCTTACACCTACACCCACAGCCCACACTCACATCCACAGCTCATACCCACATCTACACCCATACCTACACCCACACCCACACTCACATCCACAGCTCACACCCACATCCACACCTACACCCACACCCTAAAAGAAGAAATAAGTTAATAATGATAGAGTAGATGATAATAAATATCTACTATAGAAAACAGAGTAAATATGAAATTCTGATTCTATCATTTTGAACATTGTACGATACGAAGGAAATTTTTGCTACTTCAATCACAATAGAAGAACAATGAATTATTTTCTATGGTTCAACGAATTGATAATAATAAATATACACTCTGCACAACAAGAGGTCGCCATTTCTTTGCCGACTGTTCACCTTTTCTTTCATATTTCATTCTTCTCTAGCAAATATATACATCATAACTGCTACAGACAGACGGTAGACACAATTTTTTTTCTCGAGTTTTCATGGTATATGTCAACAACAGAACATAAGAGAAGTAGAACAGAAAAAAATGGCTTACAGCAATTAATATTTCAGTGATTCTTCGTCAAATAAGAATTTAAAATACTGCTGCTACTTCTGTTTCTTGAGACAGTACAAATGTTTACTTAGATGCTTTTAGTCAAACTATTAAGACTAATTATTGAGAAAAATCCTATGTCAGATTTGATATATTTCATGGTTATGATAATTGTCATAATGTGCAGTGTTCAGAGAGAGATGAACATACACTTGTCGAATAGAATTTCGGATGCGACTGGTAGCAAGGGCGACATCTACAGCTAATTAAATCTTTTCATCAATGCTGGCAGTAAACTAGGGATTATATGAAAAAGTAAGAAATTTTTACATTTGAAAAATACTTATAAACTAATGTTGGAAATTCAGCCAAAGAAGAGTCTCGTCATAGTTGCGAATGGATTCAACATGGTTTCTCTCGAGTAACTGACGTATGACGGAGAATATGAAAGAGTACTAGGAAGTAGATCGAAATTGAGTAGTTTCATGTAAGATCAATCAGAATAAGTAGAGCAAATTGTATAATCGAGTCTTTCAACGACAAAGTAGAAAACTTCTGAAGTACGTAGTAGGGAATGGCAGATTCGCCGAGACCTTTTACTCCATTCAATCGCCAATCGAATGAGACAACAGCAAAAAGCAGTATACCAGCCATTAATTTTGAGGGATTATCTTCCATCGAGAGCGTAATAGTTTAAAGAAACGTAACAATATCTTTGTCATTCATTGAATTCTGTTCTGATAGACAGCCATTGCCCGTCAAGCCAAGCATTACGAAATAAAAAGTTCTAATAAAAAGATTGAAATACATGTAAGCATATTATGGATACGATTTGACAGATTCATACCATGTTTTCTTTTACCTATCATCATAGGATATTGATTGGCTCTGTTCAAATCCAACTTCTGCGAGAGAGTCCATCATTGATAGGACTAATCAAGTCCAATCAACACACTCCATTGGTATGCCGAAGACTAGTACAGATGTAAGCTATTGGAATACATGTTCATTACTTAGAAGGAATGATTAGATAAAAGAGCATAATGTCTAGTTTCTAAAATCGTTTGTGCACAATAATCTCTGAATAATACAAATTGCTCAAGGCTCATGCCGTAGATGCTGATGAGAAACAAACTAAATGTCAAGATAATATGCTAATTTCTTGTTCCTAGGATTATCTGTTTCAGCGACAACAACCAACAACCACGATAGAAGTGAGTGAAATTTTGTTCAATATAAATGAGATGTCAACATAAGTATATAGAATACATGCAACACGATGCAGTCAACCTCCATTTCATTACCTACTACTTTTACAGCTGCACCAGTGACTTACAATAAGACCACATATCCTTCTGAGTAAGAAGAGAAAATCATGAGATTCTATTATGCTTTATTGAATGGCTGAATATTATTAGAAATGCTGGACGTCCCCTAACAGCCAAGTCCCGATTGCCTACTCAATCTTACAAAATTCCTCGAGACAAACAATATACAAAGTTTTTTCAACATGATAGATTCTGTGAAAGTCTTCAACTTGCACTCATCGAGCAATTTTCAGTACAAGTTCAAATAATGAATGCTAGAGATAATTATAGCGATGCGAATGTAGCCTACACTGTCGTATTGTCAGGATCTCAAGTTCAAGTAACATTAGCATACGATGCACTAGAGATGTTGCTAACCATGTCCTTACAGAAGAAAACGCTAGACAAAAACATTGGTAATATCAAACTAAGATAGATATTTTTCTCAATATCTTCTTCTTCGTTAGGTTTCTGGGTTTGTAAACCAGAAGCAGCTCACATCATTCAACAATATGCTAATCAAATGAACATTATTTGTTTGTGTGACTCATCTAAAGACATCGGATTGACTATTTATTATTTCACAGCAACTATGACTTCACTGAAAGACTTATGTACAACAGAAGCAGATATCAATGATATTATCCATCGAAAATGCGCATCGGGTACTATTACAGTTTCCGAAGGCGTGGATGTTACTGTAATGAATGAATATTTTCAAAAACTTCAAACGTTTTACTTACAGACATCTAACAAAGATTCTATAATGATGATTCGACAGAATAATTGTATGTTACTATTTGGTCTCGCGCATTTAGTAGAAAGTATCATCGCTGAACATGAAAAATTAAAACCAAAGCTTGTTATAACTCAAATTGAACTCAACTTGCAAGATTATCAGGTATGTATTAAAACGAATATCGATCTTTTTCAAAAAGTTGAGTAGCAGTAAATAGATATGCACCAGTGTTAGTATACTAGTGCTCACCTGGGTAGCTCTGCAACATTTGATGTTGTTTTTCTCTCAGCTTTCGTTTTACTTCATTCGGCAGCGTGGGTTTTAGGCAAGTTTTCAACATGAAAGAATAGATGTTACTTGCAACCTTGCAAAATTAAACACAAAATGATCATAGTCTTATCTTACAGCCGTCACATAACATTTCTGACTATTATCATTTACACAGTGATATTATTTTAGATCGAGTATTTGCTTGGTATGTTTCAAAATGAATTGCAACAATTAGAAGAACAGAATGCAAGCTTACAAATTTTTAATGGTATCAAAAACAGATTTATTGCAGGCCCTAGCAAGACAATTGACGCTGTTAAAGAGAAACTAAATCAAATGGTTACAATTATCCAACGAAAACAATTCATTATTGATGACATACGATTCAGTTCACTGGCTGTAGTTGAAGAAAAACATCTTGTGGAAATAGGTTTAGCTCACAAATGTCTTTCAAAAACTGAGTTCGAGTCAACCGAGAAAATTTATTCGGCTCCAATTCCATCTTTTGATAGAAGTGCAAATGGATTTACTCCATCTGCTATGTCAATCGATATTCGAACAGGTGATCTTGCGGAACAATCTGTTGACACTGTTGTCGTCTGTTCGACGTCGCAATATCTTTTAAATGATATTCTGGACAAGGCAGGTACTTCGATAAAGAATCAAGTGATTGAAGCTCTTCAAAATGGTCAAATTACCTACAATGGTTATGAAACATCTGGCGGACAATTGTTCTGCCAACGACTCTTGTTTGTTCCGTGGACAACACAAAAACTCGATGATAGGAATTTACGTCAGTCGATACATATATTTTTTACAACTGCCATTATACACGCACTTAATACTCAACAAACTTCAATTGCATTCCCTGCTCTTGGCTGTGGTGAACTTAAATATGATCCTAAACTCATTGCTGAAGTCATACTTGATGAAACTCAAAGATATGCAAACTTTAACCTAAAAATATTGATTGTACTTCTTCCGAACAAACATGAGGCGTACGAGGCGTTCTGTGTTAAACTAGCTGAATTACGTCAGAGAAAGACAGCAATAAATCCAACTAGATTTCGCTATCCTTACAAAAGTAAGTATGAGGTAGTCTTAAATTATATGATTCATCAGTTTTAATCCTTCTTTTTTTTTCAGTCACCAAAGTAATACTAATCGGATCAGAAGAAAACATGAAAAGCTGCCGGAAAGCTGTGCAAGACCACGTCCATAAATGTGTACAAACAGAAGAATGCGATGAATTTCCGTTGCATACTTGGGATCAAGCAACCATTGATATATTTTATAAATATTGTTTCGAACAGCATGTTATACCAGAAGTCAATTCAACAAATGAAAAATTGCAACTCGCCGGTCCCAAAGATAAAGTCATGGACACGAAGACGGAATTTTATCGAATGAAAAGTAGAAAAGCCGAAGAAGCACGTATCGCTTCCTATGCTCGAATAGCAATCTGGGTATATGAAACCACCACTGGAACTATTGAAAAATACTCACTCAAATTGAATGCTCTCATCGAAGAAGCATTTAGCAACAATC